ATTCTGGAACAGAGGCCCTCTAATAAAGAGGCCGACGCACCTAACAATATATATATAGTAATTACAAGTGGTTGTCTGGGAAGCATCCATCTGCTTCTGGTGGCTCCCCAATGACCACTCAAGACCACCACGTCCACGCGGCAAAACGCGTCCGCGATTCCCAATCACCTGTGAGGTGAGCAAATAGTAGGCGCACGTCAGGAACACAAAAATGGCCACCACGCTGACCATCTGGCGCGAGCGGCGCGAGCCATGTGTGTACAGGTGAGCCATGGATGATGTCTTTCACCTGTGGTTTCACCTGATCAGCTGCTTGAGACAAAAGACATCCACCACTGCGCCCCAGTTCCACTGACTCTCAAAGCGACAGTTCTCAAAATGTCAACCGGTTGCAGGGTGCTAGTAACTAGTAGTTAAAAGAGAACGGTGTTCACTCACGGTCTTCACCGCTGTAGACAAACATCAAGTGCCCAAAAACGCATGCTATAGCTATAGCTAGATGCTGTAAGCATAGAAGCTACAGCTTCTAGCTATTTCAAGTGCATTCGACCCAAGCTTTCAAGCGCCAAGCAGGTGCCAGCTCGACCCATAAGATCACGCTCCACGCCGTGCAGCTCTCACACACCGTGCCCGACCAGGTCTCGCCCCCCCGGGCATTCGGCACCTGGCGCGCCAGGTCGCACGGGCGGTGACAGGCGTGGAGAGGAAGGAAGGACAAGGAGGATGAAGCTGGTTGGAAGGAGAAGGTCGACCAAATCAGGGAATAGTGAGTACTGAAATGGAAAGGAACAGTGAGTGCTTTTGGTTGAGCTGATCAATCAGGATTTGCTATTAAGCTTCAACTCCAGGTTTCAAGGCCCAAGGCGTTTCTTGAGGCTTCGGACTTCAACTCTTGCGATCACAATGAGCTTCTGGCTGAGCTTCAACACGACTAAGCGACTAAGCCCCACAGAGTGAGGCAGTTGCAACCCTCCCGAAGCCTTGAGAAATCTGATGAATTTCATCTCTGACAGTTTCGCTTCCCCCCCGCAACTGTCACAATATACACTCCGACTCACTAACATGGAAGTGGAAAACCCACTGTTTGTAGAGGAAAGTCGTCTTCCAAGTGATCATGCCATCCACTTCCATGTGATGTGTTCCTCAGAGGGTGCACGTTCAACTCAGAACTGTGGAGTACACTTTTTCGCCCCCGAAGAAGGCTCTCCCCCCGGCTCGGACTTTCCAGGTGGAACCTTCACTCCACTTCCACCCGGCCGCCAGACTCCATGGGACCTGCCATGTTGGACCTGCCGACCAAACGGCCGGCCGTTGGGGTGATTGAAGTCGGGGGTCTGGGGCGGCATAGATACGGCAGTCCCAGTACAGGTCGTGTCTAGCTGATCAGTTCCAGGTGCGTCCACCTTTCTGCCTCAAACCTCCCCTCCTCCCCTCGCGCTTGCGTCCGAGGCGCAGGGGATGCCTTCCAAGCCGCCGCCGCAGGTGCCCGGCTCACCTCCCGGGCACTGGATGGTGTTCGCACCTCAGGGCTATGAGGATGAGACCAACATCCGCATGCGGACACACCCCGAAGCACCTCTCTAAGGGACGAATCGAGACCAAACCCCAACAAGAGGGGGTCCTGGTGTGTGTCCTTTTTCTTTCTATGAATCATGACGATTCACTCGGACTTTGCTGTCCAGGGGTTCCCTAGATAAACCTTCCCCAGTTTCAGGGGAGTCACCCAGTAAGAAGGGGAACATACACATCACCGACATAAGCAGGTGTGTTCGTTCAAGATCCCCCGCCCTGTGTGGATCTATCAGATTGGCATCCTCATTGGGTGGCACTGCGTTTCAACTGATGTTGATGTGATTCCTCTGATGCCGCGTGGCCCCCCTCCCGAGGCAACACAAGGCTCCTTGATATATGCCTGGTCTCTCTTTTTGTTGCGAACTGACTCTGGTTTCAACCAATAACACGCTCTAACCACGCTCACTCGTTCTTTCGACACTCCATCTTAGATCGGCTCTTCTTCCCTCCCAAAAGAGACAGCACTATCTATTTGGGGACCCCCATGTCTGAAAAAACATCACACATCTGCTGTACTCCAACAACTCGCTGGGCGCATCCAGGCTGCACATGTACACCTCCAGGGGTGCAGCATCGGTGCTGTAGTAGCCTGCCTCGATCTCCGGAACGAAGGCCTCGCCCAACTCGGCCTGGCCTCGGTATAAGACTGGACACAAATGGAATACCCAAGCACGACCTGTCTGGGACTGCCACAGGACTGCCGCAGTCCCAGACCCCCGACTTCAACCACCCCAACGGCCGGCCGTTTGGAAGGCAGTCCGACATGGCAGGTCCCATTAGTCGTGTCTGGAAATATGTTTTTTGCGTGTGATTGCTTGACCCTGGAACCGAGACAAAATGGTGCATTGTTCGCTGACGGCGATGAAGTTTGTTTACACTGGAAACAAAAACTATACGATATCATACAATGAACAACTTGAACAAACTATATAATATCAAACTATAGTATATATTAAACACTATTTGCAAACTAATGGTCCAAAAATACTTGTAAAACATTTATCGCGCAACACAGTCTTAAACACAAAACATGATGAGTGTTTCCTGAAAACTCACACTGCAATGAAACAACAAAAATAGGTGCAAACATACTCAATATATGCAAACATTACATAAGGAGAAAACACCTCTGAGTGAGGTCAGCTATCCGCAACAATCCATCACCTCCCAGACTTGTTCTGAGAAAACCTGAAGGACACCCCTGGTTGTGAGGGTCCTCCAAACCATGGTGTCCTGCACATTGGTTTCAAAGCAAATTGCACAATCCCCAATGTCAGTGGTTTATTTGGACGACCATATGGACATCTTGCGGTCTGTGCCATCTACTCTGAAACCACTCTAGATGTTCCATCCAACATCCTTGCCTAAGAATCAAGGACCCTCGAAGGTGAAGGCTTGGTTCCAATCCAAACCCCTGCAAAAAATGCAGGGTCCAAACCCACCATTTCGGAGGGTCCAATGATGCATAGGGTTGCGCCCCAGATTGAACCTGAAAACCGTCGGGGAAACATCTCGGGTCACGGGTGTTTTCCACCAACTCCGGTCCTCACATCACTCACATCTCACCGGGTCGCCGCTCTGTAGAGCTTGGATTGTGGAGCCGAAGGGGCATTTCAAGTACTCCCCCGCAGGGCCACAGCTCACACCTCGTCGAGAGCGTCTGCCAAATGGTACGGGTCTTTATCTATCCCAGACACTCCATGTATGCCATATATGCCATACATTGACCCCTGAAACCACCCCAATGAAGGCAAATATGGCATACATGGGAGTGTTTGGGTATATTTAATAAGTCATTGCACGGTTTGGCGGTTGCTCCAACTTAGGGAGACCTCTCAGGCAACGATCAAATAGACCGCCAAGCTCCGACTCTGCCATGTCACCACCTGGCAATATTTAAGTCTCCAACAGGCAAACTATAATGTTATACCAGCAAAGGCCCCAAACAGCTTGAAAGCGATTCGTCAAAAAACGATTCCCTACTTTTCCCCCAAAAGCAAACTGCTTTATCAATGATTTTTGTCGGCATCGACATCGCTATTTGTTTGGCCAGACAAGGGAAAGAGGAGGACAAGAGGAGGACAAGGCCCGGACACAGAGCCGGGCCACAGAGCCCAGCCACAGAGTTCAGGGGCGCGGCCAGTGAGTGTGGCCAGCTCTTTTCTTTCTAAGATAGAACCCCAACAGTAAACTGTTTGGGGAATAACTATGTTCAAAAACGGTTTTTGAGTCGTGTGCTGGCATAGTAATATGACTGTGGGTCAAATTCTGGAGGTCCCAACGCTGGTAGGTTGACCTTTTTGCTATAGTCGTCTATCCCAAACACTCCATGGGACTGCCACAGGACTGCCGCCCCAGACCCCCAGTCAACCACCCCTGGCCGTTTCTCGGCAGTCCCATGGAGTGTCTGGGTATATTCAGTGAAAATGATCAGGGGATCTTGCCGCGGTGCACACTTTCGCCTTTTCATCCATCAAAACCAGCCAAGACGTTCGGGCATAGGGCTGGGAAGGGCCCTTCATACAGGTCGACTTGGTCACCTGCTCATCGTCAGGTCCCGGAAGTTGTACGTTACAGGCGTTTTTTTGCGTTGGGAATCCCTGGAGGATCTCTGATATATTTGCCCAGCTTCTTCAACCTTTTTGGAGTCCTCAGTTGTAACCTTGTTGCGGCCGAAGCCATCTTACGCTGACATTGATCTCCAAGGCTACTTCGAAGGTCCAAAAGCCTGTTTGTTGTCAGGGGTCACAAGTTTGGGTCGTGAAACGCCAGGAAAGCCGGGTCGAAGGATGCTGAAAGGGTCAAATATCGCCCAACAAAAGTTAGCTTATTGAATCTTATTGATTTGCTTAAGGAACCATAGCGAAACACAACAACAACGCCCCAAGCAAAACCAGGATAAGTGCCCCCGGTCCAATTCCATTCCATTCAAAAATGGGGGAGAGGCACCAAGCCACCCGTCCTTTCTGGCACCATCCTCCGTTCGACTTCTCACCCGAGTCGACCGTAGTGACGGTGTGCTCCATTCGTCCCTTCGTCCATCGCCAAGCCACAATTGGGCTCTCCTGCCTGGCCAATATCGATACTTTGAACTGCGCAACCGCAATCCAGCGGCGAACGGCCGCCTGATGGACATGCGGACGGTTACGTGGACGAAGTGGAAGTGGACATGCAACATTGAAACAGAAAATTGGATTCACCCACAGGGAAGAAGTAAAACATCACCTGAAGCAAAGCCAGGCCACGGAGGCCCAAAGTGGTCATTCCTGTGGGACAGACCTTGCATACACCTGACGGGCGGGCGAGAGAGAGAGAGAGAGAGAGAGACAGAGGGTCAGTTGAGACTAAAGGAGTGGATGGACCAGGACCTGACCCTAGAAGTGCAGTGGACCAGTATTAACATGATTAACGTGGTTTTGTAGTGTAAATCGTTACAGCAAAAACAAGGGGTGTTCGGCATTCTGGCTGTTAATAAACGGGTGGGCACGACTTCTAGGGTCTACAGGTCCAAGTTCGACCTTCTTAGGCCCTTCCTGGGAGTCCTCTGAAGAACGGCAGGCTGGAGATCAAGTCTTGATCAGGTCTGAACGGGTCTATTCAGCGGGGATTTGATAGGATTCATGCCCCACTTGTCATTGGTTCGCTCTCAGAGTTCGTTCAACACCGAATTCGACCAGCGCACACAGACCACTGTGACCCGGAAATCGTCAAATGATTCTGGAATGGTCGCGGTGGAACTTCATGACAGTTCACTTTGAACAAACAAGCAAAAACTTAAACCCAGGAAGTTGCGACTAGTCGGACGCATGTGTTTTGTCCAATCTCTTGTCAAGGACTTTTCACAGCATAGTACTGATGAACAAAGGCCGGCAATATCAAGCGCAAGTATGTCGATGTTGTTCATTCATTCAATGAAAAGGTATATATTGGTTCTACCGTTCCACATGTGTTTGTTCAAGTGGGGGTCACGTTTCTGGCTGAAAGTGGGGGTCGATTGACATGAGTCCTAGAACTATCTCCAGCCCTCTCGACATGCAGCTTCTGAGACACGCGTTACACCACTCCAATTGGTAAAACTGCTTGCAGCTTTTGTCAATTCCCAGAAGTGGTTCATTGACCCGGCCGCCCTCCAAAATCATTATCAATATTGGTTGACCTGGTTTTGTTGTTTCGTCTACAATCCGTCTATAGTAAAACATAGTAGAACACTTCGATGGTTGTTAGAAATATATTGTCACGGTATTGTTGGGTAAAACATTATAGTTATATAACAAAAAAACATTCAATCAATGATGGGCCAGGAATCCTACCAAGGTTGATCACCCTGGATGAGAGCCTGGGGCCTGGTAGCTGCTCAAATGTTCTCAGATGTGTTCAGGTAGCTTCTCAAATCTGCTCAGGCAGCTAAAACAAGAACCTTTGATCCAGTGATTCCTCGATTCAAGTCATTCCACTGGTTCGACTTTGTCAAGCAGTTTGATCCTTTTGTTATAAACCAACCCCCTTTGGCCGCAGTCCGAGTTCTTCTTCGAACATCCGCCTTGGCCCTTCTCATCTTGGTAGGCTCCGATTTTGCCTCGCTTTCTGAAGGATTTCGTGGAGAGAACGTCACGGGCCCTGACGTACTATCCGAGCACCACCACCCATAGACCCCCCCCATTCTTGAACATCCAAGAACCACCTCAGATTTCCCATGATATCCCCTGATTGAGAGGAGGCCAGCACCACCAAGCGCCACTTGCCAGCCCAAATGGACCTTTTCAAGTTTCTAATCTTATACGTCGCTCCCCAGCACTTTCCTTTGCCCAAGTCGAATTTCAGACTGCCGTTCCCTTGCCAAAAAAAGAGACTCCAACCAGCAGTCACAAAGGGTTGTGTTTAGTCCCTAAGTGAGTGGATAATGGGCACCCCGGACCTCCATTAAGCACCCCTTTGTGACTGCTAGAACATAATTAATAGAAGTAAGTTGCAAGGCTTGCAGGCCGTTTGCCCCACTTCATCCTGGTAGGTGCCATAGTCACATTGGTCGCATTGCACGGCGGCGCCCAGGGGTTGTGCGGTGCCCACGGGGCACAACGCGCACGTGTGCGTGAGCCCCGTGGAGTCCACTAACCTGGCAGCACGCCGAGAGCGCCGAGCCGCCGGAGGTGCCGAGCTCGGCCGGTCGGATGCGGTCAGGGCCGGGGGGAGGGGTCGCAGCGGTCGTCCGGTCGGTCTCAGTAAGGGGGCCAGGGTGCGGAATCTACGCGGCGCGAACTGCCAGAGGTGGGTCAGAAGCCTAGTTCGACTATCTAGGTACTTCTGGTGACGGGTCGTATTTACGGTCACTGGCTACCTCTGTAGGTGAATCTCGTGAACTTCTGGATGTCCACGACACCTCTATGACCTTCACGACCAACGACTGGGGCCGGAACCAGGTCCTCCAACCGCTGGGGCGTCTGGGTACGTGAAGATGTGCCCGGATGGGCTTCTTCACTCTGAAATCCGGAGCTGGGGGAAGTGTTTTCTCTATTCCGGGCTCAACTCCGGGGCTCTCACGCTCCGCTCAGGAACTCCCTGGAAAAGCTGCCACTGGGGCAAGCCAAGCACTCCAAGTTCGTGGGATCGTCACGATTCTCCACGAACATCTTGGTGACGCTGTTGTAGAGCCTGCGGGGTCGCCGAAGACAAACAACGATATCTAACGATATCAACCAGCTCGAAACACCCAAGTGAGGCGTGGGAGACTTCAGGATGGAAGTTTAGTTAGATTGGCGAACTGGAGGACACTGCCAGGCTGACCCCCCACGTGACCAACCCGAAAATGACGTGACCTGCAGCTTCTCCAAAACCAGGTCCAATCTCTTCGAACGACGTTGGAACGTCGACCCCGGAGCGGGCTGGGTCGACCGCTCCGCCGCCCATCCGCCGACTCCGCACCCCGTTCCGCACCGACCGGTCCGGTGCCGGTCCCGGAAGGTCTGCCGGCCGGGTCGCCCGAATTGCGCGAAGCAGGTCGTAGAGTCTGGCAGCCATTTGGACCACGTCTCCTGACGGGATGAAGTGGATGATTTCGGTGGAGTCGCGCCCGTGTCTACGGGCGCGAAACACACGTTCAGGTGCTTTCCTGGCCCTGTACCATAGGGACCATAACTTCATATAACCCAAACACTCCATGTATGGCATATTTACCTACATTGACCCCTAAAACCACCCCAATGTAGGTAAATATGGCAGTCCCATGGAGTGTCTGGGTAACTAGCGTTCCAAACGTTTATATCAACGGGCTCTAGCCCGGAGGGAGCGATTCAAAAGACCGACCGACTGACGAAACAGTCGACCGACCTAGACTGAGGCGATGTCCACCGTCCACATTTGGCTGAAGGAACAGGGAAAACACATCAACAAGTGGGAAGAAGATGTTGCATGATTTGTTACATTCAGAGGTGAAAACCAGTGGCCGAGAAATCAAGCCTATCGAATCAAGAAGGGCAAGCAGTCCACTCCAAAATTAGCTTCCCCTACCAAGTTTTCTCTATTCCAATTCAGGTTCAAAGCCCAAATGCTCCATGTATGCAAATATATGGCATACAATTGGTGGGTTTTGATGGTGAAATGAATGTAGGCCATATTGGATTGCATGGAGCCTTTGGGTTATAACCGAATTGTTCACGTCGCATTTGCAAAGTAGCTTGTTCACCGCCTGCCCGGCCCCGGGGCGCAACTCCTCATTGTTTTGGAGCCATCGGCAGGCAGTGACATCCCAACCATCACCAGTGTTCATCTGGTCCAAAAGCATGTGATCCACCTGCTTCAAGGAAATGTCCCAATTCTCCTTGGTCATCCAAACGTTGAGGCCGGGTAGATCCCAGGGTGCCCACAAATATTCATGTGAATTAGTTTGAAGATGTTTGAAGAGAAAATGCAATTCCCACATTGAAGTCGAGCTTGTGAATTCTATGGCTAGAGGTGTACTGGTGCCCTTGATCTTCCTACCAGCTCGTGTCTGGTGGTTCGAGCTGCTAGTTTCCAAGACTTGGGTAGTCTGAGTAGTCTTGAAGAACACGACCAACCTGCCAACAGTAAGCCTGCCAAGCAGGCAAGCATCTAGAATCGGGGTGTTTTCTCTTGCCGCGGAAAACCAGAACACCTGTCGAGTCTAAACTATTCTAGACTAAACCATTGGGGACAGAACTCAACAATTGAAAAATCCCAAACACACCATGAATCGATCATTACCTACATTGACCCTGCTAGCGATGGCCTCCACCCTAGTATCAATGGCCTCCAGCCTAGCATCAATGCCCTCCAAGCTACTAGCGATGGCCTCCAACCTAAGAGTGATGGCCTCCAACCTAAGAGTGATGCTACTAGCGATGGCCTCCAACCTAGCTACTGATGGCCTCCAAGCTATAAGCGATGGCCTCCCAAGCGATGGCCTCCACCCTAGTAGCGCCGAAGCCTAAGACCTTCGCAGGTGCTTGGGGCGCCCAGGTCGCTCCGCAGGTCTCGTCCAAGCTTCGAAGAGATTCTGAGCATCGGGCGCCAAGACCCGCAGGTCCTGGCGGTTCAACGGCGGCCATCCCTGGACAAATCATTTTCCCCAGCCATGTCCTACGTAAAGGATCTCAATTGCCATACTGAAACAACCAGTTCTTTCTGGTTGTTTTGGGAAAGCATAGATGACACCCTGAGAGTCCAAGACTAATTATATGTTTCATTTTAATAGTTTAGTCACGTTTTGTGACCTGAAACGGACCTTCACTTCACTTCAGCGAGGAAACGACCTCAAACTCATGGTAGATTTTTGGACGGGCATATCATCAACGTCGTCCAGCATCCTCAACCTATAGACTATCCCATAGGCACCCGCTTCCTCAGCTTCCCCGGAGCTGTGTGTCCCCCAAAGCTGACCCCCCTCAGAGAAGGAAATACATCACAAGAACAACAAGAACAAGAACAAGAACAACAAAAACAAGAACAAAGACAACAACCACAGCCAACAACAACAACCAACCAACAACCAACAACCAACAACCAACAACCA